AAATGTACAAACATTATAATACAACCTTTGTTTTATAGACATAAATTGCAGTGCATCCCGCATACATTCTACTTTGGTATACNTATCACACTGTAATATTACTCTCATAGCTCGATTTTGTGCTATCTGCAATTGACTTAGTTGCGTTTTACCCATGTCTAGTAATAGCGTTGCGCAATACTCAAAGTGCGGCGCTATGAGTGTTTTATATATAAAACATTTAGTATACGCTGATATAAAGTTGCCTATTCTATTCAAGAAATTCGTTTTTTTACCTATTTTCTTTAGCATATAATCACAATGAGTTTTAAATCTTAGTTTGTCATCAATAATTATACCTAGATACTTCATTGTTTCTACACGCTCTATCCCAATACCGTCCAGGTATTTTAATGTAATATTACCTCTCAATTCTTTTTGTATACTTCTGACTATCATAAATTTCGTTTTTCCCGCATTCATTTTTAGCTTGTTTATATTCATCCACTGCTCGACTACATTAAATGCTGTATTCATTTTACTCTCTAAATCCATACTACTTTCTCCACTAACGTATATTAAGGTGTCATCAGCGAACATTTTTATACTGCACCTTTTTGGACAGACTTTGATTATATCATTTATATATACTATAAATAACTAAGGTCCCAATACTGATCCCTGTGGTACTCCATATTCTGTTGTTAGCAATCTAGATCACTTATGATTAAATCGCACCTGCTGTTTCCTATTGCTTAGATACGATTTAAGTCACTCTAAAACCACTCTTCTAATTCCATATTGATACAATTTCCCTAATAATCTTTCTCTGTCTATTGTCTCAAACGCTCTTTTAAGGTCCATGAAAATTACTCCCACTCTATTTGCTTCTCACTTACTACTAGTTTCCATTCGTCAATGACAGTTAGAATCGCTGTTTCGCACGAATATTGTTTTCTGAACCCCGACTGATGCTCTGTAATAATAGCATTACTTTCTAGATACATTTCGATTGAGAGATAGTGAGAGAGAGTAAGAGAAAATGAAAGAAAGTGCGAGAGAGAGTGAGAGAGAGTCAGAGGGAATGATAAAGAGTGCAAAATAGAGTGAGAGAAAGTGCGAAAAAGAATGAGAGAGAGTGTTATAGAGTGCGGGAGAGAGTAAAAGAGAGTGAGAAAGAGTGCAAGAGAGAGTGTGAGAGATTGAAAGAGAATGCGAGAAAGAGTGACAGAAAATGGGAGAAAAAATGAGAAAGACTGAGAGAGAATGAAAAAAAGAGAATGAAAAAAAAGAGAATGAAAGAAAAATAAGTGAGACAATAAAAAAGAGAATGCGAGAGAGAATGAGAGAGAGTGAGAGAGAATGACGGAGAATAAAAACAAGTGGAAAAAAGAGTGAGAGAGAGTGCTAGAAAGAGTGAGAGAGAATGCGAGAAAGAGTGACAGAAAATGGGAGAAAAAATGAGAAAGACTGAGAGAGAATGAAAAAAAGAGAATGAAAAAAAAGAGAATGAAAGAAAAATAAGTGAGACAATAAAAAAGAGAATGCGAGAGAGAATGAGAGAGAGTGAGAGAGAATGACAAAAAGTAAGAGAAAGTGTGAGAGTGAGAGAAAGAGAGAGAGTGATAGAAAGTGCGAGAGAGAGTGAAAAAAAGTGAAAGGGAGTGAAAGAAAGTGCGAAAAAGAGTGAGAGAGTGCGAGAGAAAGTGAGAAACAGTGAGAGAGACTGCGAGGGAGTGAAAAAGAGTGCGAGTGAGAGTGAGAAAAAATGCGAGAAAAAGTGAGAGAGAGTGCAAGAGAGAGTGAAAGAAAGTGCGAGAGAAAGTGAGAGAGAGTCAGAGGGAATGAGAAAGAGTGCAAAATAGAGTGAGAGAGAGTGTTATAGAGTGCGGGAGAGAGTAAAAGAGAGTGAGAAAGAGTATGAGAGAGAGTGAGAGGGAGTAAGAGAGAGTGCGAGAAAGAGTAAGAGTGAGAAAGTGTGAGAAAGAGTGCAAGAGAGTGCAAGAGAGAGAGAGAGAGAGACTGAGAAAGAGTCAGAAAGAGTGCGAGAGGAAGTGAGAGAGAATGTGAGAGACAGTGAGAAAAAGTGAGAGAAACTAAGAGAGAGTGAGAGAGTGCGAGTGAGAGTGAGAAAGAGTGCGAGAAAGAATGAGAGAAGCTGAGAGAGTGCGAGAGAGAGTAAGTAAGTGTAAGAAAGAGTGCGAGAGAGAGTGAGAAAGAGTAAGAAATAGTGCGAGAGAGAATGAGAGAGACTGAGAGAGAGTGCGAGAGAGAGTGAGAGATAGTGCGAGAGTGAGAGAGAATGTGAGAGACAGTAAAAAAGAGTGAGAGAGTGGAAGAGTGAGTGAGAAAGAGTGCGAGAGAGAGTGCGCCTAAAAGGTAAAAGAGTGCGCCAAGTACACGCACAACACGTAATACTTTAAATTAAAATTCTAAATTTAAACTAGTATTTATTAAAAATTGTATTTTATTTTTAATATCAAACATTCTTTTTCTACAAAACCTACGTTACAAAAGAAGTGATATGAAAAAGTATCACCAAGTACACTTGTGTACATTTAAAGAAAGTATTAAAAACATTATAAAAAAATAAAAAATATAAAATTATTATATATGTATCAATAGGTAGACTTTGCCTTTTGTAAAAAGTCGAAATATAAAAAATAATTAAGGCAAAAAAACTTGGCCGTATACGTGCCGTATTAAGGCCAAAAAACTTGGCCGTATACTTGGCGTTCGTATACGTGCACGTCGCTACGACGTGCCCGCGCCGGAGGCAGCGGTGGCACTGCAGGGGCCGCCTCTCCAACACCTCGATCGGAGACTTGATCCACCCCACCCTAATAAATCCGGCGTCCGCGATCTTTGCACGGCGACCGGGCACCGAATCCATGCTGTGGCGAGACCGTTGGGGGAAGCGCGAGCTCGGCCGACCTTTATTTCGGCCGACCGACAACCTCCAATGGCCACCACAGCCTCCTCTATCTCCTCGGAGGTGATAGAGTCATCGAGGCCCCGTATGCGCAACTCGCACGTTTTTACGGGTCTCGTAACTCGCACTCCCAGTTCTGGGGCCAAGGCGGCCATTGCCTCGTGGAGGCGGTCCGCCTTGGCTTTGTTGCCCTCACCGGGGATCTCCATAAAGAGGGCCCCGGTGACAGCCCTTTTGGGGCGGACTTCGGAGATCCCGAAGTCCGCCAATCTAATTCTCCTCCGCATCTGCGCCACCGCCGCCGCCACGTCAGCGTTTTGCGTGCTGGCAGTTATGACGATGGCCGCAGAGAGGGGAGCCTTCCCAACTTTGGGGCGAGAGGCGTGCTGCCCGGGCTAAACGGCCACCGGGCCAGCGGATTTTCGCCCCGCTCCCCTATAGAAGAACGCAGCGGCTTGCGCGTTTCTTCTCTTTTCTTTGCGGCCGACAACCTGAGACCAGGGTGTCTCAGACTCGGCCGCAGAGACCCCCGGCTTGAGCTTACTCGGCGGGGCCAGGTCCGCCCAGTGGGTGGCCGTGGGGGGCACCGCCACCCGGGCCTGAGTGCCCTCCTTGGCACCCTTTCCTTTTTGATTACCCCCGTTTTTATTTTTCTTCTTCCTCTTTGCAGGGGAGGAAGCAACAGGGGCGACTTCCGTTGAGGGGCCAGTGACGGCAAACGTGCCTGCGCTGTCCCTCGCGGCTGCGCCCTTGGGCGCAGCTTTTTTGGCCGGAAGGGGTGGTGGCCGAAAGGACGCTTCACCTCCCTCCGCCCCCAGGAGTGGACGGGAGAGTCGGAGGGACATCTGCTCCCAGAATGCAGACATCTGGGAGCGTACGGCGTCCATGAGCCGACTCTCCACTTCCCTGAGGGACTTGGGACTCAATACTTCCCCCGAAGGCGGAGGGGTTGGCGCTCGAGGCGTCGGCGACGCTACCGAGGGCTCCCCTTGCTGGGGGCTCCGTCCTGATCCCACCTCCATAAGAGGGACGAGAGTCAGGGGGGGTGATTCCGTCCAAAAACTCTCCGGCCTCGGCGGCACGGAGGGCCCGGGTGGCGGTGACACTACACGCTAAGGTGGAGAGGGGGGAAGCGGAGACCAGCGGCCGGAAGACCGTTTTTTACGACTCTTTACTTCCTTTAGCCTCTCCATCCTGAGGGACATCAGCTCCCGCCGGATGTCCCTCAGCTCCTCCTGCAGAGTGTCCACGTGACCCTGCAAGCGCCCGTTTTCACGGAGGACGTCGTCTAGTTTTACTTGGACGGCGTCCTTCTCCTTTTGCAAGGAGGCGACTGAGTCGCGTAGCCAGCCGACCTCTGCGCTCAACGTAGTGTTGAGCGCTTCCAGGCGCTGGACGTCCCTTGAAGAGTTCAGCCGACCTGCAACTATCGATACGGCCTCTTCTAGGCCGGTCGCCGCCTCCTTGAACTGGCGGACGAAGGTACCCTTAAGGTTCCTCGACCTTGCCGCCAGTGTTCGCACCGCTTCCGGCATTTTTGCGGACTGTCCAATCACTTGGGACGTGGGCATGTCCCTTGTAACAGCCAGCCGCGGTGGCAGGGGCGCCACCGCCTGCGAGCCATCCGCCCGGTTAAAGGTAGAGGGCTGGCTGAAGTCGGCCGAACGCGTGGAGACGCGCAACGCGTCCACCCCCCCCCCGGCCAACTCCTTCTCCGCGCGCAGCTCTGTTACGCGCTGGAGCTGCACCACGCATCTACGCTTTACCTCGGCGAGGTTAGCATGCTCCCCAGTAGTGGGGGGATGTTTTCTCCCGCGCCTTCGCACTCCCAAGCTGTTAGTCCTCTCGGGAGAGATCCCGAGAGACTGGGAGGCGTGAGGAAGTTGCTCCGTCTTGCGTGCGCCGCGAGACGGCGTATCGTCCCGATTTTGAGCGACAGACTCGGCCTCCGAGTCAGAGGAGTCGTCGCGGGGAAGAGGGGTGAGTTGCGGCAGTGCAGGCAGATGTCCTTGCCCGCACTCATCCCCATCATCCTCCATCCTTGAGTCGGGGACCCAAGATCTCCGACGTTTTCCTCGTCTCCGCCAGTCTGGAGCTGTAGGGTCCAGGCAGGGGTAGGCGCTCTCCTCTCTTGCAGGTGCCCTGGCACCTGAGCTTGTCGTCGCTGTTGCATCTTCATGCGCCGCCCCAGCGGGGCAGGCGACGCAAAGCCCATCGTATGATGACGACGGGAGGGAGTCTGGGACGACAACCCCCTCTCGCCGGCCGCTGGGGGTCCGAATCCCCTGCGGCGGTAGACCGCTCTCCTTAATAGTGGACATCCTCTATGAGTTATTAAAGGTGGTTTGATTTCGGTGTGTCCTTTACCTAGGCCGGCTGCCCACACAGGGCTGACAAGCCTGCCCGGCGCGCTCTTGGTCAAGCCGCTCCCCGTGGGACTGTCCAGCAAGGGTAACCCTGCCAGGAACCGAAGTTCCCGCCGGCATAGCTCCACGTTTCATCACGACACGCAAGCCCCTCCACCACGACAAGGTGGCGCACATCGGAGGGGACCATAATCGAACCATAAACGAACCACGTTCAATCATAATTAAACCACGTTCAACCATAATCGAACCACGAACGTACCACGTTCAACCATAATCGAACCATAAACAAACCATATTTCAACTATGAAACCATGTTAAATGGCAATTAATACCGCGTTAATTTATATAAACATATGCTATAGAAAAGAAGGGTAGGAAATGTACAAACAAATTTTTTTATATAACATTTTATTGTCGTTTAGACCACCAATTAAATATTTTAAATACATTTTGTAATGCGCAGTGTTTCACATGATTTCTACATCGTAGACAATTCAATACATTCACGTTTTTTAAAGAAGCAATATCGTCGTAATCGACATCCAATGTTTTAATAATTAATCTATGTCGTACGTCACTATCAACAATATCAGCTAGCCAGTTACATTTTTCGAAACCTTTAACATAGACGAGTGAAGACGCGTCGTCATCATTTTCTGCGATGTCGCAAATAGTTGTAATCACATTCTTTGCTCTGCGGTATGCAACATTTCCATCCTCCCAACGCAGACCATGATGATGCATCATCAGCCAAGAAGCTGCTGACCTGTCCGATCTTGCAACTAGATTCCACAAAAAAGGGGCTTTCAAAAATGTAATGCGAAAGAACAGTACCATTTTGCAATACCGCTATTTCTTTGACAATAAATCTTTTCCCGACTATAAATCCTTGCAGGTCCACAAACGTCGGTACAATCATGTTGACGTAATCGTGTGACCAACAAAAGACAAATGCTATCTATCGTAAAATACTGTCGCTCTTAAACAACTTTTAGATTATAGAGGGGAGAAACGCTGATGTTGCAAGTTATGTAATTTTGCGNACTACGTTGGTTAACGGATTGTATTCAACCATACGATCGTGCAAAATGAGGCAATAGGCTGTAGTATTTGCCGGTATATTGTCTTTGCAATCGAATTCAATCCGCACATTGACGGTTGCACTTTTTATAGCCTCGTTTTGACGCGAGCAATCAATGACCACTAAAGGACCACAATGCAGAAAATTGTAAATCGTGAGAAATGGTACGACAACACCACATCCGTAGTACGTTTTACGGAAATTTGTGTACATATNGTACAGAANGGCATATTTNTTTCTATCAAAATCTAAATGCAAGTCGTCATAAGGATAGAATTCAGAGTTGAGATAAAGTTTTACGTTGGTCAACTGACAGTGATCGAATCGCGTGACATCTGCTGACATATCGTTTCTTTGAGCAGTCTGTAGCGCAAATATGACGTATCTCGGTTTCTCAGGTTGTGTCGCCGTTTTTACGGCCCACGAATGTTTAGTAGTGCTTTGTAATAATGGAAACTCATAGAGATCCCATGAACGGAAACTCATGGTCAAATACCGCCCGCTTTCCAGAGTTTGTAGTAGTGAGAGCTTCGTGACATCGTTCAATACTACTTGTGGCATTCGCCATTGCACTTTGAATAATTCAATGTTTCTATTCAATGCCTCACGATCTACTTGAGAGATTGCTGTTATGCAGTTTTTGTCGTTGCGCGATCGTATTAAAATTAGTTCATGACGTGCATTGATAACCGTACGTTTGTAGTCGTCACAAAATCCTAATAACATGCTGAGTGGTACGCAGAAAGTAAAGTAACTATCTACGTCTACATGTTGTTTAATATCCCAACCAGCATTCTTCATAGCCATGCTTTTATCATGTGTTAGCGATATATAGTTTTTGATCGTGCTAGTTATTCCAACGTTTTTATTCCGATCAATCTCCATACCATTGAGTTCGTAACGAATCTCATCAAACATAAAAGCCACACAATTATTACCCAGAAATACTTCTTCTTCGTCTTTCGTCGTTAACGTCATTTTTCCTTCGACGTAAAGAAAACTTTGACACGGTAAAGTGTACAAGTCCTGCTGTTGTATAGATATGCGTATCTCATCACTGTGATCAAATGTTGTGTTCACATACGGATTGTACGTGTGAGTTTCAATCTTGACAATGCGATCATCAAAGATCGGCTCGCCCCCAACATTTAAAATGTTGCACATATTTTCAAACTTCTCGTACAAGAAATCCCAACGATTGTAAAAATTTAACGTTTATTGAACTTAGCTTCTTCCGATTATGGTACGTCGGAGAAGTAGTAGTAGCAGGTGTTTGTAATAAAAACCTCGTATCTCGCGTCACTTGATCCGCCTCGTTCAGCACGAGCATGCCGTGTATTATAGTCGTCGGCGTCGCACGTGTAACCTGACAGTTATTTCTTCTCTTCGAAAATCATGCAATTGTCCGTTCTGATCCACAATGCGTATCGTCAGATCCGTAATGCTCTGCACAATGATCGGAAGGTAAATGATTTGTGCCGGTGTTTCCGAGATCTTATATCCAGGTGGCACGTTTGGTGAGAACTCATGTATCGTATGCACACACCGGTTGTTGCTGTACGCACCCGCGGTCACGTTGCATTCTATGCAAATAATGTTTACGTTGATAATATTAATCGGCACGTCTGATACGTACCATTGTAGCGGCTCTAAAAT